AAAAAAAAAAAAAAAAAAAAAAAAAAAAAAAAAAAAAAAAAAAAAAAAAGCCAGAATCGTCGATATCAAATTCAGATTCGAATTTTGAATTCTGATTCGAACCTTAAACATAGACTATTACAAATGGACTCTTCAAATATTATATGATCGACTCTGCAAAAGACTTCAAATAGAAACATTTCTCATGTGAGATCAGGTTAGAGAGGAAAACAAAACACTATTCATAGAAACCTCTCCCTAGCTGACCGGTTTTAAAAACTTGAGGGAAAGCTGGAAAGGGAAAAGCCAAAAAAGAACAATATTTGCTAGTTGTGGACTTAGGCGGTTATAAATGGTATAAGAGCTAGACACCGAGCGGTGTGGAGGGCCCCACATCATTGAAGAAAACATCTCCCTTAACGGTGGGCTTGAACTGTTTTGAATCAGCACTAGTTTTTTTAATATGGTATTAAAATCAAGATGATTTATTTCCATACTATCATTTTCCATATAAGAACATCGAATGGATCATAATGAAAGGATTGACCAATCATTATCCATATACCAAACAAGATTTGTTTCCATTGTTCATCCACAGAGATCTCTATGATTTCCCCTCAAATTCTCCATAAAAACCCTCTCAAATTCAACAAAAACAACTCAACAAAGCACCAAATTGAGATATTGATCGAGCTATGAAGGCTGTGGTTGGGGCTTTGGCATTGGTTTTGATAGCTATGATTGGTTTGGGTGAAGCTCAAACCATATGCAACATGTCATTTCCTGATATATTTTCATGTAGTTCGTCGGTGATGCCTCCGAACCCGACACCGCCTACCACCCAGTGCTGCACGGCGCTCTTGCACGCCGACTTGACATGCTTATGCAACTACCAAAAAACTGGAGCTTTTTCTTATCTTGGCATTGACCCTAATCTTGCCTTGCAGCTGCCTAACAAGTGCAACATTCCTAACCCTCCAACTTGTTAGACGAAGTCTTGTTCAAGTGTTACAATGTTATATATGGTTCATTTAGCACGAAAATAATAAAGCTTGAACCATATTTATTGTTGGATTACTGCTTAGCTTCTATATTTATTGGTCTGGATGTTCGTAGAGATGTCTATAGAGCAAGACAGAGATAGAGAAGCCTTCTTTATCTCCATCTCCGCTACCTATTTTAATCAACATTCCTGTCAAAATTTTCATTCATTTTTGTAGAAATCGAGACAAAAACTCTCTGCAGGGGAATTTGCATAATTCGTTTTTGTGAGAAATTTTTGAACATGCATGTTTTCCATACTTAGAAGCCCTACTATGCTCATAAGTTCGACTTTCGTAGCGTTGGCCCATGCCCATGTTCGTCTTCTTTTATTCATGTCATAAGAATTATAAATGTTTAATTAATAGTAACATAATTGTATTGCATTTTCTAACAATGAGGCCATTAATGAGGATTTTTAAATGCTCGACCTATATTTAATGATCAATAGTAACACCTTCGAATTATTATAAAAAACAAAATTAAGTTTTTGAAAACTATTTTTTTAATTTAAAAAACAATGATATATTTTGAAAATAATTTTTAGGGGTGTTCATATAATCTTCTAATTTTAAGAAAAGTTGTTCGACTGAAATATTCATAAATTTTATATTTTGTCTTCAAAATATTCTTAAACTTTCAAAAGTTTCAACAGTAACTTAAACTTTCAAAAAAATTTAAAAAATATTATTACCGTTAATTTTGGAAGTAAATTATCACTATTTTGTTTGAATATACTTTTGAACTTTCAAAAATGTTTAAAAAATGTCAAACTTTCAAATTTTCATAATTACATTTTAATTTTATAAAAAACTTACCATTGATATGGATAAAATCGTTAGTACCACGTTTCAAATATACCCATAAAATTTTAAAAAATAACATTAATATCTAAAAATTACCATAAAATAGTCAAGTTTCTTTTAAACTTATGGAGTCGGAATTTTAAGTACATCTAATCTCTCGATTAAGATTATATCTCATAATTGATTGAGTTATTGCAACACCCGAGTCTCAAAAGAGGGTTAATTTTTCTAGGATTAATTTCCCAATTTTTCCATTTAAACTTGAACTATCGAGATCTTATTGACAGCTTTAGAGGCCGAATTTCAAGATGAGATAGAAGAGAAAAATTGAGAAATTAATCTTTCTCGAGACTCTCTTACTAAGACTACAGAATGTTCTTGTAAATTAGGGTCAATACCAAGTATATAAGCAGTGATTTCAAATCCTAAGGTTAAGCGTACTCTGGCAACTTTACGTATCATCTAGACTGAGTTCTGATGTATCTATTTTTTTAATAATACCGAGTTGGGTTCTTTTCCTACCGAATAGAACATGCTGAGCCAAATCTTATTCATGTAAAACCTGCTTTATTTAGATCGGGAAAATCGTATGGTTTTATGAAACCGTGTGCTATGGCTCCAATCCGTAGTCAATCCTATTTACGATAGGAGCAGTTGACAATTGAATCCAATTTTGTCCATTATTTTCATTTTCGTATACGTAATAATGCGAGCTTGGTTTATGGAAAAGTTGACAGATAAGTCACCCTTATTCCCACTCGACAGAACTGTACATGAAATTTTCACCTCATACGGCTCTGAGTGTTACAATTATTGTGCGGCGTATAATATTAAAAGAAAAAACTTCCCCAATATTGAAATTCATATAATTTTTCATACAAAAAGATGAACGGCCCATAATGAAAGGAACGACCAATCCCTATCCATAGTACGTAAAAGATTTGTCCTTTACCCCAACTTGGATACAAAGCCATGTGAAACCACAGTCTCTTACTTTAACCTGTTCTTTCCATTATTCATTCACGGACATGCTCTATAATTTTCCTTCAACTCTCTATAAAGAGCCCTCTTGAGTTCTCAAAAGAACTCAACAACGCACCACACAAAGCTATGGATAGAGCTATGAGGGCTGTGGCTTTGGCTTTGGTTTTGATGGCTGTGATGGGTTTGGGTGAAGCTCAAACCATTTGCAACATGCCGGTTGCTGGTTTGTATGCATGTCGACCCGCGGTGACACCTCCGAACCCGACACCGCCGAATGCCCAATGCTGCATGGCACTCTCGCAAGCTAACTTGCACTGCTTCTGCTCCTACCGGAACTCGGGAGCTCTTCCTTCTCTTGGCGTTGACCCTAATCTTGCCATGCAGCTACCTAAGAAGTGCAACCTTCCTAACTCTCCAAATTGTTAAGAGGAAGCGTTGTTCATGTTGTATGGTTAATTTAGCATTACAGCTCACATTTACGAAAAAGGGGTCTCTTTTTTCGAAGTTTGAACCATATTTACTGTTGGATTAGTAGTGTATGTTTGTTGTTTATCTTCTAATATTTACTGGGTTTGATGCTCTATGTATGAGTAAATGTTCGGTTAAAATAATTATGTGTTTCATTATGATTTAGACTTTTTCTGGTTTTTAGAACTCGTACTGTTGAATGAGAAATTTTTCTCAGATGATGTCACGTTTCTTTGCCATAGGGTCCAACATCTAATAAACCCATTTTTAATTCGACTCAAAATTCAAAACTCAAGACTTTGAAGGCTTTGAATAAGATTTAATATCGAGATCCCAAGTCTCACCTCTTACGTTTTAGAGTAATCTTCTCCGTTTTTTGATGTAAAAAGTTATATGATTGTTAAGGCATGAGCTAAACTAATAAATTATACCATTATACCCGATGAATCTTGATACACATGTGATACATTTGATTTATGTTAAATGAATTCTAATAATACACAAATAATATACTAACAAATTTAATTTTGTAACACATTAAATCACAATCATTTTTATTCTTTTCCCGGTGGATGGGTCATAGAATATTTGCTCGCACACGTGCGTTGAACAAGCACGACTAGCTCAATTCTACGTGTTATGTCATTGCACTATTTTCTAACTCTCATAAAAAAAAATGCATCACTTTTACACCATAATATCCTCTATCTATAAATCAATAAATATGAAATATACAAATGAATTAAAGGTTTTGATTTAGACCATGGTCATATCACAAATGTTGTAGATAGAGTTGTTAAAAATTATTCAATAACCCAAAAAGTTTGATCAACACAACTCAACCAAATTGGATTATGAACTTATTTAGGTTAAATCAAGTTCAAATAAATGAAAACTTTATGAATTTAGTTATTTCATAGATTTCCCTAAAATTTCTCTAAAATTATATTGAGTTGAATCAAACTATCTCAAATTTATTGTTAATTTTAAAATTTATATTTTTGTTGACGAAACAATTATATATACATATATGTATTTTATTTTTACAAAACACTTACATGTACAAATATACAACTATGGGGTTCATAAATAGATAGTTTGCAAATGAATATTTTTACTTTTATTAAAAACAAAATTTTAAATAAACCTCAACCACTTGAACCAATCAAATCTAAAAGATTTATGATTGGGTTGGATTGAATTCATTATTTAAAAAGGGTTGTTTGGGTTGAAAAAATTAACAACCCGAACAATTTTGTTGAGTCTAAAAAATACCCAACCCAATCCAACCCACAAACACCCCCAAGTCGTAGGACCACGATTGATCAACCCAAAATCTTGGTCTATATTAAAGGCCACGACTAATGTTAATGGTGGTTTACATGCAGACAAAACACGTCATTCATGGTCTATAATAGACCATGAACAAGGTCTAATGCAAACTAATTATGTATCATTGTTAAATGCGTACCAAACCTAATTCACAATCTCTTGAGATTACCACTGAAAACTATTATATTTTTCTAACAATATGAACCAATGAGAAAACAAAATCAAATGGGAGATGGGATGACAATCAAATATCCATAATCCACTATTCTATTACCAAATAAACCAACTGAGGTTTGTAAAAGACTCCCACATAATATGACCATAGTATATACAATTTCAATGAACACAATAAAAACTTCTAAATCATGCCTTAATAGTTGTTCAAGAAATGTCATATTCATGCACAAAAATAGATATAATACAAATTAGAAGGGTATTTAGAGAATTCCCACATTTGTCACAAAAAAGAAACAGTAGCTTCGGTAACATTAGATGCTGTTGTATTATTCATTAAATAAATTGATTCACTGTGTGTTATTCATGATGTTATGACCCTATCTAAATTAGGCTCTCTCCCTTTCTTTTCTTTCTTTCTTTCTCTTTCTATAGATTTATTACTTGATATGTAACATAATATTCAATGCCGATAAACAACACAATGGAACTAAAAGGTTTTGAGTTGGTACCTTCGTACCAGAGTACTCTTTTGCCTCATCCATTTTGTTGCAGACCATTTTTCGCCTGACAGCACTTCACAACCTCCATGAATGCTATTTGGATCCGACTGTCCATCCAACCCCTGAAGCAATCACATGTAAAGGGAACCGTTAAAACAACAGTCATCTATTTGGAGTATTTTATCGATACGGAGTTGAACTAAGGGTTTGTTTGGAATGACGTTCTAGAAAATTATAGAATTTAGGGTCACGTTTGGTGGCGTTCCTGTTTCTCATTTTCTATTTACTGTTTTTTGTTCCTCATGTCTACTCTTTTAATGAAATAAAGAATGTGAAAACAAAACAGATTTGATTTAGAAAACAGAACTGTGTTATGTGTTTCTTGTTTATTTAATGATTCCTTGTTTCCTGTTCTTGAAAATTTTCAGACTAAAAAGTAAAGATTTATATGATAGAAAAAACGAGAGACATGAACAAAAAGAACAAGAAACTCGATTTTGTTGTTTTAAAATTTTTTATACAAATTTAGAAATTTCTGAAAAATGAGAAACGAGAAACAAGAACTTGTCAAACGATCCATAGTGTATTTAAGTTTTTGAGTTGAGATTGAATCCCACGACTTCTGTGAGCAACTCCAAAACAAATCTTAAGCCCTTAATTGGACATCTCTTCGGGATCGAATAATTGATGTAATCAAAATCAAAATCTGTTTTGATTTCACATTCTTCATTTCATTTCTAGTGGCAAAAAGATACATACCATACTCCAGAAAAGCACTGCATCTCCTCTGACTGGTTTAACTGACAGTCCTGGAACGGTCTTCCCGCCACAACTACACTCACCAGAACCAGCCTGAAGAAAATGTACAAAAGGAAAGTTCTGAACACGACACTTGCAAGAAACAAAATTTAGAAGGGGAACATGCCTGTCATTCATGCCAGAAATGGAAGCTGTTAAATGTAATTTGCAATTTCCAAGGAGTTTTTTTGGAATAAGAAAGGATGATGTTTTTTTTTTAGATGTCTATTACTTAGGACATTAACTTCATAACTCTCTAGTGGCTTTCCAAAACACCTATACATAGCGGGGTTCACCAGTATAGAGTGTCATAGCACTCCATCAAAAAGGTTTCTCTCTGTATTTCCTCGTCATTCTAAATTTTGGTTTCTTCCTTTCATTACCTTCAACATAAGCAACTTCAATACCAACTGTAACTATAACACAATCAGTTGCTACTTTACAACCAAATTCGATAACAATCTGAGTTTACTTCAGTTTTTAAAAAGGTTAAACTTGTTTACTACTAGTTTTGTTATTCATTTTTTTATTTCTACAAACAATTTTGAAATTTTCACCAAAATTCTAAAAATATAAAACATTTTGGTTTCTAAAGTCGAGTAAAAAAATCTTTTTTTTTTTTTTCAAAAAATCACTTTCAAACAATGAAACTGTAAATAGACAACTTTAATTGTATAACCTGCAGCTGCAAGATGCCATTGCCATAGCACCATGCCGCTTTCTATCCCTGAGATGACTAAGATTGGAAGGCAGGCTAATTGTCAAAATAATGCAGTTGTTTTCCAAATAAAGAACGCCACAATAATCAAGCAGGTGCCCAAATCTGAAATTCTCCTCTTTTACCACATTCATTTGATGTCAATTAACATAATACAAGTTGCCTACGGTAATGGGCATGCTAGAATTTCTATTGTCCTCTTTTTCTTTTGTTTCCCTCTCTCCTATGTGGCATGAACTACTGTTGAAATGTTGCCCTTGTCCATACCTGATGAGAACATTTAAACATGCAAGGAGAAAACGGGTCGAATACATGGTTTGAGGTGTCCAACTAGAGAGAGACATTAATACAAGCTCAAGACGCAAGGAAGATACGGTTTGCAGAGGGAATAAAGAAAATAGTATTAAACAAAAAGATATTTATTTAATCAGTATTCATAATGTCAAGGAACTAGGATATAGTGATGAAAATGTGAAACCCTAAGGAAAATAAACTAAAAACTAACGGAAGAAAATAGGTAGATTTCGCTCCTACTGAACTTTATTGTACTGGTATGAGAAGAAACAAAAATGACGTTTAAGATAACATCATTTTACCTCCTTTAAAGCCGTGTCGTTTATAGAACACTAGACTTCACTTCAATGTGGAAAATATTTGTCCACAAAGAAATATAATTAACTTTACAAAGTTTCAATTGGCTTAAAATTCAATGGTTGAACTTTTTTTTGTAATATCTTAATTATTTATATAATATAGTTCATTGATGAGTGGTAAAGTATACAAAAGTTTTTTTTAAGAAACGAAGACAAAATAAAAAAGTTATTTATAAAAAATAAAAAAATAAAAAAAATAAAAAACATTTTTTTCAATGTGTCCCTTCCATACGCAATTCCTAATTTTTTAGAAGATTTTGCATTTAAATGCCAATGTGGTGTCCATCCAAGCATGCTTCTAGGCCCGTAGTTCTCGTCCTATTCATCTCTTGACTTGCTTCCGATGTCATACATCAGAAACTTGAATGGAAATAAGAATACTGTTCTATCCCGTATTCATATTGGACTAATTATCAACTCCCAGTTCCATGACTAAATGGATATAACAAGTGGATAGCTATGAAATGGTCGGCAAAATTGAATTTCCTTTTTACATATAAACTAATGCATCAAATTTGGCTTCCGTCTAAGAGGATGTCTCTGTTCTCTTCTTGCTTCGTAATAGTCTTGTTCTTTAATATCAATTGGTTGTTTTTATAAAATAAGAAAACTAATACATTATAGCAATGAAATTTAATTCAGCAAGTTAAATGGTAAATACCTTCGGAAAGTAGGTTTCTCCACCTTCAACGTTTTCACTTAGATACATAAGAATGGTTGCAATTCGCTGACCACCATGCATCAAGTTATACTGTATAAAGAAAACATGGAGGAAACGTTGCATGCCATCAGCAAGAGCACAAGTTCGGCATACTTATAATAACAAATCTAAACAAATAAATAAATACTGATTTTAGAATACTAAGATTCATGGCTGAAGAAATAACAAGAATCTTACAGTATCAGAAAAGTAGTCATGATGAGGCTTGTAAAATTGATTCTTCTCGTACCTGTACTGCTTGAAATGTTAGCCTTAAAACTGAAGCACAAACCATTTTAGCGAGAATCTTCACAGAAACAAAATTATATCCATACCTTAACACTTGAATGAACTCTCCATTTTCTATTGGTATTTGAGAATAGACAGAAATTCTTTTTTCGATTGCCTGCTTTCACATGTTCCAAAACACAGGAAGTCTATCATCAAGCGAGAGAGAACACAAAGATAAGAAAACGGGGCAGTAAAAATGAAAGATGCTGGCGATGTTTAGCATGCTTTATAATGTTTCCACCTAATTTGAAAGAGTAACTCAAATTCAGAACAAACTCCGAATTTCCACATTCACTGTAACTTGTTCCTTCTGGGAGGCTTAGGACCAAGGAACTTCTGAAGGGAGAGATCGATGCCTTACCTAACTTGAGCACACCTCGCATTCAAGGATTTTCAAAATATGTACCGAACCTTTAAGATCCACAATTTTCAAATGCACTCCAGGGTTAAGGATTGACAATCGCTCTTCAGTAATGTATTTAGTTACCACTTTGCAGTTTAGTCTTTTGCTTCGAGCCTGTTTGGTATATGGTCGAATATTTAAGTACCATGACTAATCTTCTTTTTGGGTTCCTAAGAAATTTCGAAATATTTTTTTCTACAATAAATCAAACTCCCTTTAAGAAAATAAATGAAAGAATACGCGGACAAAAAAAGTTCACAAAAGGGGAACCAAACTACGAACTACAAAAATGGGCTGACATATGGGTATTCAAGCATTGTTTTTTAAAAATCTACTGAGAATTGTTAGTGCACCAGCCAAGCTAGGTAATAGACGTAATCTAACTTTTAGGAAGCACTGTAGGAAGAGAGCCGAGTGAAAATTGGGCTAAGGCATTAACAACGTGCCAAGAAAATGCAGTGTGGCTAAGTGCATTGAGGTTGAGCACAAGAATAATTTTCGCAACATTGCTTGAGGACAAACAATAGTTTAAGTTTGGGGGTTCGATAATTTGTGAACAACAAGATTTACTTTGAGTTCCTACTCAAAGCTTCATCCAAAGAACACTGGACTTCTTTCAAATTCTTAAAAGATTTGGTGACAGTGCATGTAGAGTGGATCTACCTCAAGATCTCAAAATCAACCCACCTTCAATATTGCTGATCTTTTGAATATCATCCTCCTGACATCTTTTCTTTGCTGGTCTAAAACTCGAGGACAAGTTTTTCTTTGGAGGGAAGAATTGACGTAATCTGGTTCTTTAGAAGTTCTTGATCTGTTTCTTTACAGTTCTTGCAGGATCTTTTAAAGAATCTTTAGTTTCTTGTTTGGCCGTGGTGTAAATGTTGGGTAACTGATGATGCACTTTTTTGTTTTTGGTCAGCCACTTATTTACTGTTAATTGACTACTAGTTACCTTAGTCGGTTACTTTTTGTTTTGTCACTCTTAAAAGGACTGAGGTTGCCTATTTGAAGTTAATGAGAATTTGAAGTTTTTCTACATTTGGCTTGCACCAAGAACCATGTGGAATAGTCTATAGTTTATAAAACTATATTATGGATTGTAATTGTCACAATCGCAATTCTTCAAGACCCATAAAGCGATTGTACAACATTTACTCTCGCCCTTACTTAGATTACCAGGGGCACAAATGACCTATCTCGTAGCCTCAGCTTCTATTATTAAAAACAACTTTAGAAAACGGGGTCAAAGAAATTTTTGGAAAACGCTTGTGAAAGTATTTTTTTAGAGGTAAATGTTATATGCTAGCAAGCAATAAGAGACAACAATGCATTGATAGCATATTACCAACCAGTTGTATCCCAACCCTATAGTACATTAAAAGACAAAATTGTCTTTGACAGGTGTAGACATTAAAAGCAGCAATGAATATAACTATACTAGAATAAAAGACATAGGGTAAAAAGTTTGGAATAGACATGCAGCCACAACCAACACACTCTGGACGGGCATGACCATGACACTTGGCATGCCTAAATGCTCTACGGTAAATGATGCGTACATGATCATTTATGGTTTCTTTAAATAAAAAATCTTGTCTAAAACAAGTGGAATAGATTTGAAAATTTAAATGAAAGAATAACTTTTAACTAAATTGAAAACTTTTCCATAAAGTTAACTTTTGAGCACATCCATATCCATTACTAGAAACATCAAAATATACCAACAATTTCTTTGTAATTCATACCTGGACCATCGGAAATTTTTTATCTCGATGGCCTAAAAACATTCCCGAGCTCGTTCTGAAATCACTCTTAACTCCCTGAAAATAAATCCACAAGGGAGAGACCATATATATTTAACATATCATTGTCAACTAGAAGAAAAATCCTTTTCATAGGAAAATATATATATATATATCATTCAACCCAAAGAACAATACTATGTGGATCCTCCAATACAACTAATAGTATCGTTAACAACAGAACGAAGCAAAACTATCAATGACAATCCTGAACTATAGAATCTATCAAGAGAAAAATATATCCACGCAAGGAAAAATAAAGTTAACCTAGAAAAGTAGAACAGTATTAGCACTTCAATATTAATATAACATCTACACATAAATAACGATAATTTATCTTATCATAATTATCAGCACAAATTAGCAGCATTCTATAAATACACACTTAGGCAAAGAAAAGGAATTAAATAATTAAAATAAATAAATACATATATATTCATAAAAAGTAAAAAATAAAAAGTATCTAAGTCGCACCTAGTACTTTGGATCATCTGCTTATTTATATGCCTTAGATATACCTAGATGGGGTCCTTCCCTTTCAGTTTTAAAACTTTGCGACTTGATCATCCTTTTTTGTAAGAAATCTCTTCTTTAGCGATAGTCCAAATCTTTTGACCTCTTTGAGACAATTTCCTTTTAGTACCTACTCCACGAGACCCTTTCCCAAGGAAACAAGGTTTTAATAAAAAAATTGCCTGAAGGATGCCAACTTTGAGATCATCTCATCTGTTCCTTATTCAATCTTTTTGTTTTCCAGCGTTCTTCCCAGCTTTGAGAAATGGTGGAATGAAACGATAGAAGAAGGTTGGGCAGGTTATGCCTTCACGAAAAAGCTCATGGATTTGAACCGGTTCCAAACAAGGTGGAATAAAGATGTTTTTGGCAACGTTCAAGAGTCCATGAGGAAGCTATTTGATTCTATCAAAGCAAATTGACGCTTTGGAGGGCACTGACCAGTTGAAGAAGTATTAGACATTACTTCAAAATCTGCTTAAAGAGGAGCTGACTCAAATGATAGTTAGAGGACATAGAATGTGGCTTAGAAAATGCAAGCTCAAATGGCTGAAGGAAAGGGATGAAAACTCCACTTTTTCCACAAATGGGCTTCATCAAGAAAGGGTAGGACTTACAATGCTTCTCTCGAAAATGATAAAGGTGAGCTGATTACCTTTCAGCTTGGAATTGAAGAAGTGGTTGGATATTTTTCTAACCTTCACAATCGAGCAGACACAGAACAGAGATTCACCATTAATCTGAATTGGGCTCCATCGGATTTGGTTATGAAAGAGAACCTGGAGGTTCCATTCAATGAGGCAGAAATTTTCAAAACAGTTTCTGACAAGGGAAATCCAAAATCTCCAGATCCAGATGGGTTGACAAGCAAATTTTTTTTAAAGAATGTGGAACATCGTGAAGTGTGATTTAGTAGCAGTGTTCCACAAATTTTTTTGAAAATTTTATCATTATAGGTGTACCAATGAGCTGTACATTTGCCTCATACCAAAGAGAAACAATGTGACCAAGGTCAAAGGTTTTAGACCAATTAGCTTGATTACTTCCCCTTATAAAATCATTGCCAAAGTGCTTGCAGGGAATCATTCTAAAAATTGGCTAAAGATGATCTGGAAGGTCCCCAACCCTAAAATGGAAACTTGAGCCCCAAAGGATCACAGACACAAAGAAAGAAATGGGAAAAAAAGGTTGAAAAACAGCTAGATGACTGAAAACTGGCAAAAGCACTAAATGAAGATGACCAGAGCAAAACGACAACACAATTGGCAGTGGAATTGCTGACTGTTGACCGTTGTGGGTTGCGTGTGCCCAGAGAGGAGAAAAGAAAAGTCACAGGCATGGATAAACCCATGTGAATGCGTGAAACTAAACGAAACAGCAAACCACAAGGAAGAAAGACAACAATGACAACTGTGGTTGATGGCAACGACGTAGACAACTGGCAGTGACCACTACGATGACTGCATCATGGGTTTTAATACGGGGTCCTTCTTGTTAACCCTCTGTCCTCAATAGTGTGTTCTTTGTAAAGAGGATCGAAGGCATGATCAAGTCCTCTAGTTATGCCCTTTTACCCATTTGTTTGTGTTAGGTCTTCTGAGGTGTTTGAAGTTTCAGGCTCCTAAGAGATTTTGTTGTGATACAATTCTTGAGATCTAATTATATCTTTTTCTCTTTCTTTTTCTTTTCTGAGAAAGAGGTAGAACGCAGCATATTTGGTTAGGAAAGAAGAGGAGAATGTCTCAAAGAAAGGAGAATCATGGGAGGATTTTCCTCGGGGTTTCAGGAGAAAACCATAGAGAAACAAATTATTTTATTCCCAAAATTTAAAGAAACAGCCTACACACTAACATCAATATAAATCCAGCAAGAGAAAACAACTACCTATTGTAGTTAGCTATCATGCTTGAAACTAACAGACATGTGATAATAATATATACCTTCCCGGTTTTTGTATCCACAACAGTGGAAATTTCAAGGTGAGGAAGTGCTATTGCCTTAAGGTAGTCACACTCCTGTACAAATAATCAATTAGTCAAAACAGAAACTATCTTGTACCAGTACCCAAAATATAGGCTTCTTGAACCAAAGTAGAACTGATAAAATTGCATTAGAAGTGAGATTTATAATGAATAGTAAAAAAAAACTAAAAGGTAATGAGACGAGTATTCTAGAGGAAAATTTCTGAAAGGATATCTCATTCTAAACTTTTAAGGTAAAAGCCTATCCCTCGGCATGATACCCAGAATTGATGACTGGATGATAAGTTGAGAAAGTTTACGAGCAAGTTGAGAAAGTTTACAGGCAAGTCTCTCTTTAGCCAAATGTCTGGAGATTACCAACTTCTCTAGAAAGAAATGATCAAATGTGAATTAAATATACAATATCTTCAACAAATTGAATTGTTTTTCATGGTATGTGTGACTTTGGCTGGCATCAACACGAATGACAAAGTTCTAAGGAGAATTCCAGTCTAATCATCTTGGCTAACTGGTGTTGTCTTTACAATCAAATTGTTGAAAACCTTCACTTTCTTTTTCTTCTTTTTTTTTTTTTTTTTTTTTTTT